CTTTACGATAAATTGTTGTGTACAGACACCGCATGCATCTCTGCATGCGTTGTCCGATCCTGACCGTAGATCACGTTGATCTACGGTCAAGATTATTTCTGTTTTTTTTAAATTTAAGTGGGGTTCTCTACATGCGGTGTCCGATCCTGACCGTAGATCAAGTTGATCTACGGTTAAGATTATTTCTATTTTTTTTTAAATTTAGGTGGGGCCCACCGAAATACATCTGGACCGTAGATTCCGGATCGGACACCGCACGCAGTGTCCGATCCGTATGGAATAATTTTTCGTGCTTTACTGAGCAATTGGGATGGGTGTGTGGCTGTAATTGTAGGGACATTGTATGTGCTTAGAAGGCCTTCACATAGTCGAGCATAATTCAATGATGGGCGCATAAGAAAAAGTTAATCAAAGAAAATTTGGGTTTCTCTTTTATCAAAATGGATACATAATGACAACAATGGAAGGAACGAATTAGATATTGACTCAAAGAGGGACTTAGAGGAGAAATAGATGAGAAGAAAATAAAAATAGGCAAGTCAGAGCAAGAGGGACTAGAGAACTCAAAGAAATTGGAAGTGAGAGTAACAAAAGGAAAATATCTCGCTCCATAGATTGATTTTTTATTTGGCATAATTATCTCTGTTTATTAAAATAAGTTTACAAGATAATTTTCTCTTTTAATTCAAACCTAACCTATCCGAATAAAATATAAATAATTCAAAAGGTGTAATTTAATACAAGTACACCAAATAATTCTAAATTCCTAATTAAAGTGAGAGTAAATCCTAAAATACTAAAAATGACTTAGACCTAATTTACTATGCTACAATAGTTATTCGTACTAGTTTAAAGGCATGTGCTTGTATAATGATAATATATTAAGAATGCAAGCTTCCATATAACAGTTAAGTAGAAAATACTTGAAATATTAGATGAAATTTTAAGCTTATAATATTCCTCTTGTTTAAAAATTTGAAAGTCATATTAAAGCAGAAGTACTTTTTAATGAATTGATGCAAAAGTATAATTCTTTTTTTTTACACTTAAAGGGTCACGAGTGAATACACTTTTGAGGACTTTTAATATGCGCAATTGGGCTTTTTTTATTTTATCTAGGTGTTTTAATAATCAGATCTTGATTAATTTTCACTCATCAAACAATTTCTTAGCTCATTATGCATTTATAAACTTTATATATATGAATAATCGAGTCAAAATAAAATCTAATTTTAGAGCGATCTTCAATCTGCAAGATAAATTCAAAACTCTCTCTTTTAATTTTGTAAACATTTGTCCTTGTGTAATACATGTTAAAGTTAAAAAAAAAGAAAACTTCTAATATAAAATTATTTATGATAATCATTTTTCTCCAATATTAGAAATCAGACGAATCTAATATGTTATGTTAAATAAGGAATAAAATCATCATCTATAATAAACTCTAATAAGTATGAGCAAAAGAGCTTAGATGGCTATAGAAAATTTATCCACTTAAGAGAAACATTAATTCTTACTATTTTCCAAATAACCCTTATATGAATTATGTTCACATCTCAAAGATTTTTGTTTATGCTAATATATTTGAATAATAGGTTACAGATAGAAATTTTCACAAAAATTAGGGAAAATTAAAATATTTTTCTTCATCAACACAAAACAATACAGTCTAAATACATAAAAGATGAAAACCTTCGATTCAAGAGGCAGACAATCCCTCCCAAACTCTAACCTTGAAATTCAAGACAACAATCACATATATAACATAACCTTAAACATATTAAGCCCTATTTATACCCCACAATAATAACTAACAAATGAATGAATTGTTATGTTAGTCTTGCGCCTAACATAAGCTTTAAAACTATTTTGGTGGGCTCTGCTTCAACTTAGTGAAGCATAAGGCGAACGTTGCCATAGGTGTCGGTCTAACATTACTCCCCTATCAAAAAACACATTGTCCTCAAAGTGAAAGAAAGGAAACTCCAGCTGGATCAAGTCATATGCCTCATACTCATAAACTGCTTTGAATCTAGCTCTCGCCTTAAGCACTTCATTGAAATAAGTGATTGTTTGATGATACTTCCTGAGGACCACGCCTAACCGATAGCCTTAGCTATTTGTCTCTACAATGAATGGTTGGCTAAAATTAGAAACTTCTAGCACTGGCACATTCATCATGACCTTCTTCAACTTCTCAAAGGTCTGGGTCTCTGCTTCCCCCCTGAAAGTTTTCATTCTTCAATTGTTTCGTCAAAGACCACGTAATATAACTGACCCTTCACGAACTTCTGGTAACATTATGTAAGTCTAAGCAATCCTCTCAACCCCTTTAATGCCTTAGGTAGTGGCCAATGCAACATATCCACCACCTACGATGGATTTGCTGACACCCGAGTATTGTCGTCAAATGGTCAATGTGGTGACACCCGAGTACTGTCGTCAAATGGTCAATGTGGCCATCTAAGGAACAATCTGATAGCATCTTAAATTTTTCCCTATACTTCATGAAGGACTCTTCCTAGACTAATGCAAAAAATATCTCGGCTAACTCACTTTCTCGCATGTTTTCGAAATGCTCCAACAATAAATATTTCAATTCTTCTCATGTTTTGATTGGTTGATATCGTTCTCTCCATTGATATCACACTACATCCCTCCCCTCCAAA